CGTCTTTGTGTGGTCGTTTTCTGTCGTAATTTGTAAGCTCTTTTCAGCTATCCGGTTCTGAGGGAGATCAACTCCTGTAATTTGTCAATAAAACGAACTTCTCTGTCCACTATTATGTTTTTCGAATAATACACCTAAAGTAACTAGTCGTAAAAATGTAGTAAACACATCAAGATACGATACTAAAACCTACTGAGTCTCCCTGAGGCTCAGTGCGGTGTATTTATTCTTATATTTGATTGTCTACTTGGTCTACAAATAATTCACCTCGTGTGAAGTAATTGTAAACTAATTCTAACTCCACACTGATAGTGGTTTAAGGGGACTTTTACTACAACGATATATCACTCACAAGATTAGAGCAAGATACTTGGGAGGCTTTTGCAATGCGATGCAATAGCCCAACGAACCCTCACAACCCCCAGTGAATTTTGTATATGTCCCGTTTCTGGCTGACATTCTTTATTTATTATGTGCACGCACATCCAGTGATAACAATACTCCCTTTAATAGAGCGATTAAAAAAACTTATAGTTGTACGAGATTCTCGAGAACAGTACCATGAATCCCCGGAAAGCCTAGAACTGGGAGCGCACATAGGTTGCAGATAGAAACTTATCGTTGTATACGATTAGCTGTTTCTGACAATCTTTGCGGGTATTATATATACGTATATGTACACTTTGCGAGTATCATATATACCCGTGCTTATGCTTTCCTGAAATCACATATAAATGTGCTTTTGTTTTGGGAAGATAATCTGTAATTTAGGTGCTTGTTATATAATGTATGTTTTGGTAATGACATGATTTGTCAAGTACCGCTTTTACATTACCTGAATTTTCATCAGCCTCTTCCCTGCAATAGTCGTATCCTCTTCAACTGCAGACCCTGCCGAACCTCTGGTATAGCCTTTCAATTTCTCTCCACTAGTAGTAAACGACATTTCAGAATCAAGACCACTATTGTTTGACAAGGTTTGCCAGCTGCATAGACAATCAAATCATTGAGATGAACACAAACGAGTCTCGTCAATACTGTGTGCGGCTGGCATGCAGAGACACTTCATTGTGAGCGCAAATGTCTCACACGCGTGCTCAATTAAGTTTTAACTAAAAACGTATGCAGCTACTAATATCTCACATCACACGTCATGATTCGATATACATCTTCGTATCTTACACTATCTGACACTACGATACATGTAGACACGTTATGCTACAAAAGGGATCTTCCGAGCGTGAGCTATATGACACCACGATACACCCAGGCAAGAGCCTAAAGCATACTCGGCCCAAACTCTAGGGTCGGGTGTTGACATACCTATTACGACTAAACACAAACACGGGGTCATTTGCACGTAATAACTCCTGATAAGATCGTTCTTCTATCTGCGGTGTAATAGGTATCGACACTAGATCTCGCACTTTGTCCACGGACGAGTTGGCTAACAATGTCACAATTTGTGTCTAGAAACAAGTAGCATCGAAGTGATATGAATTGATAATCGATGCCCAGCTGCTGCTCTCAATGAGCTTGGCCTTTACTTTTGCGACTGCTTGGATTCACGCGCAGCTTCTGGTGTAACATATACAACTTCAGATATGCGCGAGGAATACGATGGGCAATTTTATATCACGACTGAAAGGTCAAGGAGTATATTGTGGAAGATAAAAACTATGGGAGCTGACCAAAACAAAGCAATAGTCACGCAGATGCTTTTATTAAATCGAACAGACTAGTAATCCGATTCTGTCTAGTATAGGCACATGGATATACTCGTAAAACATTGTACATATAATGCAACATTTCATATGTTGTCGTGTCGATCGTGCCACGTCATCCACATGTCGGGATTCATTTCCCATGTGCAATTGATCACATTAAAGAATCTATAAACAGCACATTGACCACTGACTTTGACCACGTTAGAATAACTACTGAGGGGATTTGAGAAAACATTCAGTGCACTTATTGCTGTGCAGAGTTATTGACAAAACGCAATCGACTGTAATACCTACACATTGATGCATTTCGTATCTTGACTTGGCTGAATATCATTTGGGCTGCCGGCACCGGAGCTCTGGGCATTCGAAGTAGGCAAAACAGACCAAGCTCATATATGGTAGAGAACTACAAGCTTTTTCGGTTCTCTGAGGGAAACAATGCCAATGAATTTTAATCGGAAAAAACCCGTAGCGACTAGTTAAATGGTTATCTCACTAGCCACTATGTAAGAAGAAAAATAGAAGCATAAAGGGAGAAGAATCAAGCCTACCCTTTCAAAGTGTATCCGAGTTGATATACTTGGAATGATGTTAGAGTGCAATATGGGGGACTATAAGTAAAGTGTTAGTGTTTCTATAGTATGGTGCGTTCGAATGAATTTATTCATGATCTCACCCTCAGTTATATACTGATGGTGTTTGTACTAGTGTTCAACCACTTGGGTTGGCCAGGGTAAAAACTCATATGACCAGTATGAGAAACCGTATGCAGAACACTTTAGCATTCGGATATATTCTCTAGAAATAAATATATCATATTCTCTGATACTACACCCAGTCACGGACCTCGGCTATAAGCTAGCCAAACGTTGACGAATTGGAGCTGTCGAGTATATTCTCGATGAAAATTGTTGAAAACGTTGGTCTGTTGGAACTATCGACTCGATGAAATTTGCCGAAAACGTTGACTTTTCTGAAGAGTAGACGATATCCTGTACAGTGACAGGCTTCACGATAGGGCGTGGATAATCTTCTGTACCAGCCATCACAATTTCGCAGGTAAAATTACTCATTTAAAAAGAAATTTTGCTTTCTGAAGCGGTGTCAACTGTGGCGTGCATGCTGGGGGACAGCTCCCTTCTGCCGGCATATTGGTGTCGTAATTGCTGTCGTTTAGTCGTTGTCGTAAATTTGCTAGCTGCTGAAGCTACGAAGAGTCGAAGACTGGCGACGAACTGACGATATCCGAAAAAATCGTGTTGTTTGGTATTTGCAACAGGAGCCAAAAAAAAATTCACTAAATTCTAGTGAGTCAAATTTCAGACCAAGCCACTTTGTTCTCTGGGGTTTTAACCCAAACTAGGATTTTCCCCATGACTTATCATTTTATGGCTCACGACCATGTGAAATATTCTTCACCCACAATATTCACTTCGTATATTGAACTACTTATATTGTAGAATAATATCAATAAACATCTACTCAATTCTCATTCTGAAGTTTATACGTTCCAATATAGGCTATGGGGCTATAATACGGACGAAGACTCTGTCTTAGAGCTTGAACACCACCCCACCACGCTCCTCACCGACGAAGACGACGGTTACGCAGCTCCGGACCAAGACCGCCACCCCACCTACAACCGCGATTCAACCCCACCCCGTGCCCCGACGACCCCATATCGTTCGCCTTTTTCTACGGCATGTCCTCTGGCACGATCTACCTTCGTACCACCATTTCCAGCAAGTAGTTCCCCCCCAAGCCTTCTGCTACCAACTATCTCATGTTTGCTACTAAAGATGCTACTTCCCATCGACGGGCTTGGTCCACTCTTTCTGTCTCTGGCAACCCCTTTGATACCTGGAAGACGGATATCTACCTTGCTGCAGCGATTGAATATACAGTCGATCTCAGCCTACCCTTTAATTATGACGATTTGGTCACCTCAGATGCCACCACAACGGCATTCATAGTATCTCACAAGGATCAGGTGCCTATCAGCGCGCTACTCAGGTAATCTAGCGATCACTTTCTGTCGAACTTCGTAAATCCTTGGATAACTCGACTTTACTGACACATCCTTGGAAACTCTTGAAGACCATCATCAGCCGATTTCAACACAACTCTGCTAAAGAACGCAAGCATATCAACCACACTTACCTCCGCCGGTTCAAACGCAAAGTTGATGAAGTACTCCGTGAATGGGCCTACCGCTGTGAGGTCCTTATTCGCCAAGCCGATGAACAGGGTACACGGTTTCCTACGGAATTCCAACAAGACCTGTTTCTCTCTGGTCTACCTTGACAGCTACCAGGAACAGGCTAAAGGCTACATATTTGGACTCGCTACTTTCAGGACCCTCATTATCATTCAACGTCTCTGTCTATGTATTGAGAAATGGGGAATCCTTAACAATGTTACGATCCCACGCGTGAATCGAGCTACAACACCCAGCCCCTCCCCCCCACTACATTAGATGGGGACTATCGCTGCTCTCGTTAAATGCATGGACGCGCTCACGTCTTCGACTACCAATTAACCACCTCGCAAGTTTCACTGCTATGTATGTTGGTCTGATAAGTATCACAGTGGTCGCTGCACTGTCGCATGTGGCAGATGTAACCTCAAGACACACACTGCACGCGAATGTAAGACTACACCGCTTACTTGTACCAACTGCTCTCACTCCAATCATTTGGCACTAGTTTGTAGCAAACGACGCAATAAAGCGAACTTTACCTACTCCAGTACTCCCACATTTACTTCACCACATCCCACCACCGACGCCCGAATATCTAAGGTACACACTATCAACCAATGTACACCAAAGTATCAAGACACATTACTTATCGATGGTGGAGCGACTGTCAATGACAAATCGATCGGTCGTCTGACACATTGAATGGTTCTTATCCTTTATTACTTGCCGACGAATCATCGATTGTTATCACTAAGCGAGGTACATTACCAAATCTGGGTATCGCTTACATTTGTCCTACTCCAATTCAACAACTAGTATCTCAGAACATGCTCCAAGACAATGGACATGCACTCGTATTCCCACAATATATCAACCAGTGTATCCTTTTTAAACGAGACCACTCACTGACAATTCGCCGTTCTCGGGGCGGCTACCATGTTACCTTCGACCAACTGGCTGCCTTCAACATCTCTCGCGATGCCGTCCGGACCATTAGCTCTCCTGCTCCGGAGCCACAGGATGCACAAGGGAAGGTTCGTTACCAAAGCTCTCCTGCTGAGCCCACATCACCGACCCCACCTGTCCATCCCTCTACTGGACGTTCCGTGGATCCACCGACCCCTCTTCCTCCTCCACCCACCGACCCTATCATTACACCGATCCCAACCCCCGTTCTATTAGCTTCGACCACACCAGATTCATTTGCGTCCACTACCCCAGCCTCCGCAATTACAACTATGACCTATGATGAGTTCCACGCTAACTCCGGAATAT